TTTGCTGACGTCCCCTGACTGCAGTGGATCTTTTTTTTTCTTTTCTTTTTCCGGAAGCCTTACGGCCCAACGACAAGTCATTTAGAGCCAAACAACAACAAAACAGACGTTCACAATAAAAAAGCATTTATCAAACTTATACTGAAAGTTTACAATGTTTAAAAGATGATGCAATAACAATCGTCAATAGCAACCGAATCTGCTGTAAAATCTGACATCATAATGTTTGTACAAATCAACTAAATGTAACTAATGAAATAGCAATGGAACAGAATTGGCATTAAGCTTTTTTTTTCAAAGTTGTTACATTTAAGTATTTGTAGGGTACCTTTAATCATAGATACATGTATCATGATAAAACTGATTTTTCTGTTTATATTGCCATCATACTTTCAGCGTTTTTATATATATTTTCATTTAATCGTGTCATAGATGTATATCATCGTTATAAGCTAATTGTGTAAACATACATATTATATACATGGATTTATTCTGACAAATTATATGATTTTACAATCCTTTAACAGTCAGCTCTGAAATAAAAGAAACATAAGCATGACTTTATCTCAAGTATTTAAGCGAATAAACACGTTCTCCCCGAAAAAAATATCATTTTTCAAATACCCTCGAGTATTCCTACTCTCTCCTTTTTTTACAAACAAAAAAAGACGTCCCGTATGTTTCTCCACAGGATAAGGATTAATTGGGTCGTGTGTTAGTCCAGTCTCCTGGTGTGAAAACCTTGTAAAGAGGATTAGGCTCATCTGTGGTACAAAGATATATATTTGTAACAGCTACTTCCCTTTATTGTGAGTACAATGTATTGTTTGTGTTGAAAATGTTTATGGTGTGTCAACATTCCTACAGTATGCTGATGGTTATACATGTAAAGTGAACGTATACTACAACAGCATGCCGATAGCAGTTTGGTTTGGTTTGGTTTTATAGGGTTCGCGTGCAACCATGTGCAATGCAGCAAGCAGCTGTGTATGTGTTCTGGAAGCAGGATATATTGGTGTATTTGCCTCTGTTGCCGATTTTATAGTGCTACCCCACTGAAATATTATCATTTAATCATTCTACTACAATTTACCCTCTGACACAAGCCCGCCCCTACGGATTAACGCCATAATAAAGGTATCCCTAACGACAACATCAAGTCCATTGTAAGACAGGAGTATTAACACTAACAATATTTTTTGTACTGACCAACTTCCCTGTGCCTGTAACTTGATACGATCATTAAACCTATCACGAGAATAATAGTTATTTACACCATTAAGCCATCTGGGTCAAATCGATATAAATAATTGTCGTTGTGATCTAAATATTTTACCACAACCCATTGAACATAGCGGACATGACAGAACCATCGACTTTTTTGCATAAGCCGGTCTATATGTCGACCGTACCGTATTGACATAGGGAAATACGAGTTTTTAATAGGCAATTTACATGCATAAAACAACGGCATGCGAATGATTTTTTCTGTGTTTACAATAGCAATGTCTAAAGCTATAAGGGTTTATTTTTGTCAGATATTCGTTTGTATGTACTCTTTACACAATACAGGTGACTACCCCTTTAAAATTTGGTATATTTTAGATACGGCATGCAGAAAAATGAACTACACTGCGTCATAAATCTGTTTCGTACTTTTAGGACTCATTGGTGATGCCAGGGGCCAAAATGTTGGAAATCTAAATTGTTTTACTTCTCCAATTCAGGAGTTTTACGCACCTGCCCCTCTGTTTCCGAGGGACAGGTGCGTAAAATTCCTGAATTTGGAAATTGAGAATTGATTCGCAAGGAAGATATCTTGAATATCGAAAAGCCCGCGGAATATAAGACAAAATTGTGAAACAATTGATGGGAGAAGGGGTCATTGTGTTTCGAGAAAATATATTACCCATACAAAAACCATGTCACGCTATTTTTTCAAATCAAAACAACATCTCAAAGACATTCGTTCCTGCAATTGTTTTTCGACCCATTCTCACCCCGATTCCCATCTTCACCCCTGTCTTCCAACCTAGGCCTCAACCAACAGCATCAGAAGCCGCGATATAGTAGCGTAATAAAACACAATGTTTATTTCTGCCCAGCGCCATAAGGTGGACGGGCATTTCGTGACCAGACACCATTCCCAGTACATAACGTGGTCTGATGTCCAAACTATAGCAGTACTCATCCCTAGTGCATTCTTACTCAAAAACATAACTCTCAGTCTATGTGGTTACAGAGAATATTTGGACCGTGTTATAAAAACACTTGCCAAGTAAAATTCATGTCTGATTCCACCTTATGGCTGGGCACACGGGACTATCGTTTCGGATTCACACACGACAGTATTGCGTTTTCCGAATAACCTTTGGAAATACTAGTGTTCATACATGTTCCAACATCAAAGATTTAATAATTCCCTATACACATCTACATGTATCTCGAGTATGATTATTTCTTTCTTATAACGCTAATGCAATTGATTAAAGACCTGCACAGAGGTATTTCTAACGAGAACTTGATGCATTCTGCTATGAAAATAGTAAACTGAGGCTACGATAAAGATTTAAAGCTACTGGTCAGCCGGTAGTCATCTATGTATATTTTGTAATTAGTTGTTGTTATAACAACTTGGAGTATATTTGTATGCAAAATTTGTTTGTTTAAGGGACTAACGTCCCGCAACAGCAAGGGTCGTATGAGACCTGGTGCCGAAAAAGACACCTCCAAAAAGGGGAAGAAGATCGAAAAAAGGTAGACAGAAAAGATATTAAATGAAAGAGATTCAAAGTGTTACAATGGGGGCATCGGATCAATGTTGGCCTCTTCCCTGCCTTCATTGTAGTAGACACGGAAGAAACCCTGATTGTTTCCACATGTGTCGGTTATTTACGATACATATGAACTGGGATAAAGATCTATTCTTGTTTTTTGCAATGTCCCCTCAAAGAACACAAATAAGAAAACGCCCCAAATTCCGCATGGGGGTTGTATGCAAGACCCAGTTTTATAATTGCTTGTTATGTTAATCACAATCTTGTTATAATATCAATCGTTATTTAAAGAATCGGGATTTTTAGAAGATAACAAAATTATATAGAGTCATAGTTTTTTGTTTTTTTTTTTTTTTTTTCTCTTCAACATGTATATTAGTAAATATACACTCTACATGCAAGATTCTGATTTATAAAAATTCATTTTTGACATTTTGTCATTCTCGTTTGTCTAAATAAGACTAGAACAGCAAATGTACAATACCCTTCAAATAACAAGATATATATATATATTTCTTTCCGGTAAGATTTATTTTATATTGTCAAAATGGTAAATATTCTAAGTATATAATTTTTTATGTAAACGGCAATGGAGATCGAGGCGGTCACAATTCTTTTATAGATATCTACGTGGTTTTCGTAAGTTAAGCAGACATACCTACATATTGGTGATATCGCTTACTTTCGAATGTCTGACGTCACATTGACAATTCGGGTCGTTTAAAGCCAAACAACGCTGTAAAAATGGACGTTTACAAAAAAACACCTAGTTAGTTACTTAACGGCCCAGCATTAGTTAAGTGCTATCAGGCGTGACAGCAGTAGGAAGAGAAATTCACAAACTTATCACAACAAAAGAAACTATGTTAAAACCTTACAATCTTAACCCCTTAAGCACGCAAAACTCTTACCTTTTATCATTTAGTTTCGTTTGATGTATTTAAGTATACACCAAGCTTAAACTATAGGATTAAAATAACTACCTCACGAATTCATATTGATAACATGATTTCACAAAATCGAATATCGGATGTCGCAAATTAAATCTGTGATATGTTTGTTACTTTGAAAGCTTGATAGAATATTTGATAGCAATTATTCATTTTGAATGTTATAACATGTTCAAATCGACGTGGTTTTTTTTTTCGAATGCTTTATCCTGTAAATTCATATTGAATGAATGACGTCACATAATCTAATACAGGATACCGAAAATTGAAAATGGAATTGCATATACTGAAAGCTACATGAAAGGTATCAAATATTTATTCCGAACGCCCGTTATCAACCTGTACCTTCGATTGCTTAACCTGGTAAATTCAATAACGTAGATCAAATTACTCATATCATTTCATTACCGAATATATGATATCGCAGTTTAAATTCTGAAAAATTTAAAATGATTATCAAGTGTTCGAAAAGTAGATACAACAAAACGGTTTTAAATACCGAAACGACACCAAAGTTTACGCATTCGGCTAAAGAAATATTCAATGAATACAGTCATTAATAAAACCAGTCAGAACACACCCATTACATTACCAAAAGGTCCAAATTCACTACTTTTTTCAGGAATTTTTAATACTGTCTTTTTATAGATGTTTATTATATATATCTATTTTTCAAGACGACCCCTTCATGTCAGAACCCGTCTCTGTCCACTGACTTTGGAATTGTCTAATTGTATATAGGACACGGTGTAACTGACCAGCCAAGCGATATTTTTTTACACACAAAGAGACGTACGTTCTTCGGTAAAACGCCGGTACTCCCGACGGGATGATAATTTATGTGGCCTATTTACTTAAGCACCTTTCAACAGAGGATGAGTCCCTCGATTTGTTAAATAACAATAAAGATATATACAACCTATTCTCCGCCAATGTATCATAATATACAAGGTTCCTTACCTCCACCACAGGAGCCTCGGGTTAGACAACCAAAAAACATCACCCCTCGGGTTGAAGATTTCTCTGTCACACCCTCAAGGTAGGGGAAGATTCTATTAATCCATCGATAACCATCACCACATATTTTACCGAATTTAGATTTATCAAAATGACATCCACATCGGTTTGACTCTAAACTAACTTTCAGAACCTGCATATGCCTCTCAAGTATATACAGTAAACACTTTTAAAATACTTTTTAACATAATTTCTGTAAAATTAACAAAGTCATTTTATAGTGTATTAATAGTGGTACAGTTCTCGTGTTACTTACCCTCTCGATCCATTGCCAGTTCGGGAGGGAGAGTCATCAGGTCTCGGATTGCCACAGGTACCCTTTTTGTGGCAATCACCTCGACCTTTACATTTTGACAATGTCCTTTTTCCTCCAGCTTCCTAAACACTTGTAGCTGTATGTTGTTTAAGGTGAAATAGTGACCGTCTTTTTCGACCGCTTGTATTTTAGGTAGCGTACCCTTGCTCTCGAACTTTGCGGTCAGTCTTTCTAAGTCGATTTCTTTGGTAAGGTCTCCGATAGCCGTCTCACCGGTACAATTTGTAAAGTGAATGCTGGACGGTGGTAGATAAATCATCATCACCACCGATACATCAGAATTTACTAGAATTTACAACAACACCGCTCACTTGTGTTGATAAGAAAATACACTTTTGAATATAATCACAAAACTTTTTATCCAATTTTGACATTTGAAGCACCAACTCGTAATTAGTTATAACACACCTGGATAGTAGAGACGGGACATCGACCAACGTCGATATCTCCGTGCGCGGTGTTCCTCCATATCATATACCCACGTGTATGCTGCATAGCACTATTCTACGTACTGTAATATACCAGCTTCATACTCAGAACAGATTGATGGAGATTTGTTTTCGCCGTGGTGTCAGATGTACGTTGCTGCCCGGGTTAGATGTTACATGATAATGGCATCCATATACCACGTCGCCCGGGTATGATGGCTGGCTAGTTACATGACAGGAAGGGAGGAGGAAGGAGAGACATGAAGCTACTTTTCCCGTGTTGATAATCATCGATCGACTGAAACAGGTTGTTCGCTAAGGATGAATAACTGAACACGTGGACCGTGTACTCAGAAACACCATATTGTATTATATGGATATATATCATAACCGTAGCGTTGTAAACACCGACCTACTTCATGAACATTAACAAGTGTTGTATCACAGGTATTTTCTTGATGTTTTAATACAAAAAAAAGGTTACCTACATTTTGTTGTCATTATAATTGAACTTTCAAACAGGGCAAAGTAAACACTCAGCATTTTCATATTTCGTTTTTAGTTTGTATGCGATTGTATCGGTTATTTATGTAAAACTAAACAGTTGTTTAGGACGAGGGTCATTGCGCTCTATGCTGTATCTCAAAAAGAAAAGAGTTCCAATTCGTTTGTCATATTTCTGACTCGGAGTTACCTACCCATTTACTTTGGCAAAGGGTTATGCAAAAGAAATACTTTTATTATTATCATTTCATTTTGTGTGTAAAATGATAAAATTATATAAATATAGCAGGGAAATATTTGTTTATCCCGTTTACAATAAAACAGTTGTGTGACTCTATAATAGAAGAACTTTATGCATAGATATAGAAAACATACCAACGATTTATATTCACCTTACAATATAAGATGAAATACATTCACTGTATCTCAATAAAAATCAATTTACGAACCACTATGAGTCTATGTACTAGATACCAATTCATTGTACCGCTATGGTTCATTGAACGGTTTCGCTCCCTATTCTCACGATGATGAAAAAGCTTACGACAACCTTCAGAGCATCGTAATTTTCCTTTGTATAAAAAAAATCGTGAATAACAGCGATTTGTCTTTGAAAGAAAGTTAAAGAATTCTTTGTCAAAATAACCATATACAGTAAAACACTTGTTTTTAGAGAAAATTTCTATAATAACATTACATGTTTTTCATCTCTTTTCGAGAACATAACTGTCTCTTCAATTTTCATATATCTGAAATCTGTTGGTCTTTTTAATAAAATTTGAGTCGCCATAGCCACTTTCAATATTCAAACTGACGTTCGTCTTTTACCTTTTAGTTTGTTTGATGTTTTTATTTTGCATTTGTTTTTGTTGACCATTTGTTGCCCCTAATGACTTTTCCTGTATTGATGGGCCGTGGTTAAGCATTTAATTATAGTAATAATTATAATCTTGTTGTAGGCCAAGGTATTTTCGCATGAAAGCGACCTGAACTAAGTATTTACTTTGAAGGCATTGTTTGCGCTTAAAATATGCTTATAGATGCGGAATAGTGATAATGTCCTTTCTGATAACAGCCCCTGATACTTATGATATCAGGTTGCAGCGCATAGCTCAACTGGAATATCTAGTTACGAATGGCCTATCTGCTAACAGTTCGTTGTATCAATAGGGTCTCTGGTTACATCCTATGGTATATAGAGGTTTCTTGCTTCGGCTCGCGGTACATCCTCGATACTCCAGGGGGTACGACCACTTAAGCTCTCTGTACCCCTGGGATATGTCATGACAAAATTGAAGGCACCCGACCTAGCTATTTGATTTGTCTCATATTCAAAATCTGAACAATTGCGAGTCTGATGTCTGTCTTTTGAAGACTATAGAAGACAACTCCCGACTTCAAAGTCGGTCAGTTGTTACAGTGTTATGATGTAACGGGATTCTTTTTGGTGTTAGGTTAGACTGTCTAAATATCAAGGTGGCGTACACAGAGCCTTCAATGATGTCATAACATATTCCAGGAGTTTAGAGAGCGCAAGTGAGCGTAACCCCTGGATTATTGAGGATGGCTATGCCACAAATGGGGTCTCTGGTTAAAGTTTGGTTTGGTTATGCAATTGAAGTTTTAAGAACTTTGGTATGTTCTGGCTGAGGACAGATTAATCAGTTAGATAGTCAGTTGAAAAACGGCCCAATAACGGTAAAGTCATTGTTTTTGTTTTGTCTAAACGGTCCATCGACAATGTAAGTCATGAACAAAAGTTATTGAATTCTTTCAACAAAATTACCCACAAATCTCTTAGTAGACCACGGTCTTTCCGTGCTTTGAAGGGACTGTTTGCTCCGTAAAAACAGACAACTGTAAAATAGATGTTGCTAATAAATGCGGAATTGTGATAAGGACATGTATGTTAACAGTCCGTAATACTAATGATATCAGGTTGCAATGTATATGAAAAATGACATCTCTGGTTACTAATGGCGTATATGGTTACAGTTCTTTGTACCATTAGGGTATCTGATCACATTCTACGGTATACAGAGGTTTCTAACTACGGCTCGTGGTACATCCTCGATACTCTGGGGGTTACGCCTACTTAAGCTCTCTATACACGAACGCATCCGACATTAGGGTCTAGTTCCCAGTTCCGTTTATTTTAAACGTAACTAGGAAATAAGAACCATTTTTAAGCTCCCCTTACATAGCTATTTGATTTGTATCATATTCAAAAACTGAACAATTGCCAATTGGCTTCAAAGTCGGCCAATGTTACAGGTATGCCGTAACGGGATTATTTTGATGTACGTCAAAGGATCAGACTGTCTACTTGTAGCATCCACAAGGTGGTGTACACAGATCCTTCAATTATGTCATGACACATTTCATTGGTGCAGAGAGCCATTTCTTTTGGACGTTTGATTTAGTTTGGTTTGGTTATACTGTGTGTTTGGTTTGATGTCCTTAAAACAGTTAATGACATTTGAGGACGTGCCTACACGTGCATGTAATGTATGCTCGGATGCTTTTGCTACCTTGCGATAGCACGGATCTGATACTGACTTGATAATACTATGTCTCTGAATTACTATACCGACGACACCCATCACAGTTCACACCATGTCACCTAATACTGACAACAGGTTAGCCAGTTGTTTTGAATACTCTTAATTACTGTAAGTTTAGCACATATTACATGCAACTAACGTTTTAAGGACTTTGGCATGTCCCGGCTTGAGTATAGATCATTTAATATGTTGCTTAACGCCCTAACAACGGTCAAGTCATATTCGGTCTGACAACAATAATATGGAACACTTTCAGAATCGTATTACGCCAAAAGGAAACTTAAGGGTAAATTGTTAAAACCTGCATACATAACTCAGCGAAATGGTCAAATATTTAGCCAAAGAACCAATTATGTTTGTTTCCGGTTACCCTATCTACCCTATTTTTGGTGTCTTTCCTGAAGTTTTCAGTTTTCAAGAAATCACTGTTTAAGTCAAGATCGCTCTCCAACACAACCTTATATGAAATTAAATGTAACGTATATTACCTACCTACCTTAATTTTTAGACATATGAGAGGAAACAAACATGGTTTTAAAAATTCAAATATTACGGTAAAAACCAATTTCACGTATATGATCGAAAATCTTTAACAAAGTTATTGTATCCATATTTTTTGTTATATCAGGCACATGATGATATTTGTATCGAATATATCTAAAAGTGGCACATGCGATTGATAAAAAATGTCCACCGCATGAATGGCAGAGGTTCTGATCCTCTTGCCTAACTAAGTGCACATGGGCATACATTTTTGTCCTGTAAGAAGTCGTGTAAGGACGATCGCTTCTCTACGATCTTCTATTATGGGGATTTTTGAGCCCTCTTGCAAAAGGTTTATTTGATTGTATATGACCATCTTCCAGCTCACTGCCTTCCCCACTTTGATGAACGTTCAACATTGATCCCAAATACTGCAATGGGTTCATCAGATTTTTTTTTTTAAATTTGTCAATTTTTGTCCCTAAGAAGAGAGCACGAACGCAAATCCCCATGTACTGGATTACGGCAGGTATATCCCTTTCTCAATCACCGAGCTGCATTGTGTTTGTACTTTAATGTTTACTTAAACGACCAACCCAAGGTTCGGGGAAATAATAGGCTTAATGTATTATAAGTCCGCGCTGTCGCAAGAAAACACGTACACCAACGTACCCTGCCTCCATCACACATACACACAAGCATACATGCAGTACACACATTGAAGAACGTGCTTAAATGACATTAGCTGTTAATAGGACGTTAGTATCCTCTAAACCAAAACAAAGTCCCACCGCATGGCGCAAGTACCCCCAGCCCACGGTACAGAATTAGGGGTGGTTGCTACTATATCTCCTTTCAAGAGACGTTTGTGTTTAGGAATGAGGGTTGTTTTCCGTGTCTTACTCTATTAGGATATTGAAGAGACCATAATTGATTTCTAACTGAAATACTTAAGATCTTTTTCCTCCCTAGCTTATCGACATTTGTACATACTCTATGTCTTTTCAGTCAACTTTTTTTCTACCTACGTTGTCTACCTAGGTACCCGTCTTTATGTGACCGTTAAAGACGCTAAACCCCGATCAAAAAACGATCTGTTCTCCCAACCCGATAGGTTTGCTGTGTGTTGTGTACGTGTAGCACTAGATACAGGTGCCATTAGAACAGGATAACTAGCTACAGAGGCTGGTAACACGTTTCGTAACGTGGCCAACCATGATCAATAGTTCATACAAATCACAATGAAATACTACGCAATGCATGTCTTTGTGTTATGAGTTATGATCGGTTCTCGCACTCGACACCTGCAATCTAGAGGATATTCCCATGGAATTGATAGGGTAATTACAGGTGAAATGTATCTAACATAGTCAATAACCGGGCTGTGTTCGTGATTGTCGTTATTTCATGTATGGATCGTGCAATGCAGAACTATAATGAGGAGATATAATGGCCATGTAGAGAAGGATACAAGGGCCTTATTTAGAACGCTCTTATTGTGAACGCTGAACAGAACAATGCATCTGTATCTCTATTACAACCATTGAGATATTGAAAAATTCCTTTGACCATAGATGCTAATTGGACGTTGAGCCTGATGAACCTTATTTAACCATACTTCTGTATTTACTCAAGTGTTGCTGTTCCCTGTGTCCGTAGTTAAAACGTTGAACAAAATTACGAGAGAAGGCTAATGTAAGAGGAAGACGGCACTAAAAAAGGAATTATTTATTGTCTCCTTGACGTTTTGTTTGTTTGCTT